AGGGAACATAAGGAGACAGCAGGCCGTTGAGTCGCTTCGCCAGTCTGTACGTGGGTGTGGGTATCTGGCTAATGATTGGCCGAAGTGGGTTTCCAGGCTTGTGTGTCTTGACATTTCCATACGCATATCCTCTTGACATACCAGAAAATATTCTGAGGAAACTACTCCAAGCTTGTACTAAAGAGGCACCCTTCTTGAGCCTGGATGGGCACATGTATAAGCAAGTAGATGGGGTCGCCATATGTTCTCCCCTAGGTGTCCTGTTTGCAAACTTCTACATGGGTACCATCGAGCGAAAAGTCTTAGTCGACATGAACTTGAAACCGGCCATAAACTGCAGGTATGTTGACGACATTTTTACACAGGTACCTGATGTCAGACATCTGCAGGAGCTGAAGGAGGCATTTGAGCAGAGTTCCGTGCTGCGTTTCACTTACGAGATGGAAAAGGATGGGAAGCTGCCCTTTCTAGATGTAACAGTCATGGAAAAGAGCGGAGGTTTCCACACTGCAGTCTACACTAAGGAAACGAACATAGGAATGTGCCTAAATGCCAACAGCGACTGCCCAGACAGGTACAAGAGGAGTGTTGTTAACGCATATGTCGACCGTGCTCTCAGCCACAGCTCAGAATGGAAGCAAGTCAACGAAGAACTCTGTAGGGTAAGGCAGGTCCTAGTTAACAACGGCTTCTCCAATGGTTTCGTCGAAGACATCATAAGAAGGAAAGTGAAACGCCATGCAACCTCTGAAGAGACAACTAACACAACACCTATACCCCCTATTAGACTATTTTACAGGAACTTCTTTTCCACAGCTCATAAAACGGAGGAAAGGGTCCTGAAAGATATTGTTAATAGAAACGTTATCCCTACAGACAAAAATCAGAGGATACAACTGACGATTTACTATAAAAACAGAAAAACGGCCAGCCTACTCATGAGAAACTCTCCAGACACAAAACAGAACGCTTTAAAAGAGACTAACGTCGTCTATGCCTTCAAATGCCCTCTTGGGGACTGTAAGCTCCAAAAAACCCAGTATATAGGCAAGACAACAACATCTCTTTCTAGGCGTTTAACGATGCATAAGCAACAGGGCTCCATTAAGGAACATATAATCTCTTCCCACAACCAAACCATCGCCAGAGAAATCCTAGTAAACAACACAGAAATCATCGATAGATACAGCGATAGCAGGCGGCTTGACGTTTGCGAGGCACTACACATCAAGAAGTCAACACCAGCAATCAACAGCCAATTAATGCACAACTATATTCTACCCACCTCAAGACTCCGCTCCAATATAGAAGCATCAAGAAATATGGACCAATAGGCTTTCTACAAACACTTCTATTCAATACCCATTGTTTCGTGTTCTGTCTTGTGTTGATGAAATTAATACCCTATTAATGCCACCTCTTGTTCTGTCTTGTGTTGATGAAATTAATACCCTATTAATGCCACCTCACCCCATCCACCTCACTCAAATGTAGATATAAAATCGGAGATGCGTAAGTTCTATTCAGTTGTGTATTTGTAAACTAAAGTCTTTGAAAATGTAATAAGTTTTACGAAACGCGCTCGTGTCGCGTCAGACTAGAAATAAAAATGAATTTTGGAGAATTGATTTTTGATTTACCTCCAACAGTGAAAAGAAATGTACGAAAGATTGAGAAAATTCGTGTTAGAATTATTAATCTTACTTTTTCGGTCATATTTAATAATATATGTCTACAAGAAAGACTGCTACCAAAATATATATATATATATATATATATATATATATATATATATATATATATATATATATATATATATATATATATATATATATATATATATATATATATATATATATATATGTATATAAAATGAGTGTGGAGAAAGTGCAATATATTGCCATACTGACTATGAAGGTTGGGGAGCGTGCGGGTGTTAACATGGACTCATATAACTGGCAGCGCGGGCCGTGTTGAGGGAGGTGTGAGGAGCTGTCTCCCTCACTGCTCCATAGCGACTCCTACTCTACCACTTAAACCATTTCTTATCGTCGTCTGTGCGTGTACTTTCTCCTGAAGGTTGATGTCCAATACTTAAGAAGTTAAATTTGTTTTTTTTCTGTAGGGAAAAAGTATTTTAGAATGTGCCTGTGTATTGTGTAGTATTTCCTAACGTTCCTAACTTAATATTTGTCTATTAGCCTCCTTCCATCTCTCTCTCTTGTAAACAAAGACTGTAATTCAATTACAAATGGGTTGTGATGTCGGTAATATAACTACATGTTGAGAGGTGACATGATACATATGTGACTAAGTCTGTGTGTCTTTCCTCCTCGCCCGACCACTTGGGCTGGACGGTTGAGCGACGGCCTCGCTTCATGCAGGTCGGCGTTTAATCCCCGACCGTCCAAGTGGTTGGCCACCATTCCGTTCCTCCCCCTTCCCCCCAACCCGTCCCATCCAAAACCGTTATCCTGACCTCTTCCCAGTGCTATATAGTCGTAATGGCTTGGCTGTTTCCCCTGATAGTTGCCCCCCCTCCTTGTGCTGCCCTTCACACTCTCACCTCAGCGACAGCCCCTCACACTCTCTCCTCACCGACAGCCCCTCACACTCTCTCCTCACCGACAGCCCCTCACACTCTCCTCACCGACAGCCCTCACACTCTCTCCTCACCGACAGCCCCTCACACTCTCCTCACCGACAGCCCCTCACACACTCTCCTCACCGACAGCCCCTCACACTCTCTCCTCACCGACAGCCCCTCACACTCTCTCCTCACCGACAGCCCCTCACACTCCTCCTCACCGACAGCCCCTCACACTCTCTCCTCACCGACAGCCCCTCACACTCTCTCCTCACCGACAGCCCCTCACACTCTCCTCACCGACAGCCCCTCACACTCTCTCCTCACCGACAGCCCCTCACACTCTCTCCTCACCGACAGCCCATCACACTCTCCTCATCGACAGCTATGGGATAAACCTGCTGGGATTGATATTAGAGGAGACTACCAGGGACTTGTGCTGAACTAAATTAAAAATTACTGTCTGCAATTGAATTCAACTAAAATCTCTAGCTAGGGTTGTAAATCCTAGCTCCTCTTTTCCTTATGACAGATTGTGGGCTGTAAGGGACAGGTGGGGTGAATGAATTAGTTGATAGAAGTTCCAGTCCACCTGTAGACAGGGATTCTCACATGAGCTTGTATTTTATACAAGGATAAGATTTAATAAATTCAGTTCTATGCTGAACACTGGCTCTGTTTAAATCAGAGATTTAAACATATACATAGTCTAGCCTAGCACCATAACTATTAACAGCCAATATGTTCTTATACTATAAACAACAATTTAAATTGTAAAGTATAATAAATGACTTTAAATGTAGTCTAAGTACTGTTAACTAAGTACTAAATTATATTCAATTAAATGAACTTATATGATAACTTAAAAAATAACTAAGCAAGCAGTTGATAACTTAATTTTTTATATTCAAGTATATATGCAATGTATTTATATTAAATTTATTTAATTAGGTACAGTCAGCTTGATTGAATCCTTTCCCACACCATGGACTCTCATGAGGTTTTATTTACTTATTGCAGCTGAATCTTTTCTGACATAATGGACACTCATGAGGTCTAATGCTTGGATAAAGATTCACAGCTACACTACAATTTTAATAAACTTACTGAGATATGAGGCGTTGTCTCGCTTTATAACCGACAGACAGACTTATAGAATATTAAAGTTATACAAGCATACAATTGGCCAACTAATACGCTACTGTAATAACCTTCAATATACTTATCTGAAGCCGGGTGCCTGTCTGACAAGTGTGCCAGACTGATTAACTCTCTAGTCATGAGTATAGGCACGATATTTGATATAACAGCTTTGCTGTAGATTGTTGTTGTAGCGTTGCTAAGTGGATTTTTCTTTAACTGTGTTGCAGAAGAATGATAGTGGTGAAGGTGGAGACAAGTCACTGTGTGCTCCACTCTACACTTATAGATATAAATGTTCTAGGGATTTTCCTTGTAAATACTGTCCAGGTACTCCCCCAGTTCTAGAGAGTACTCACTGGTGATAAAGATAACTAGATAAGGTGTCCTAAGCCAAATAATGTTCGCTAAGGATTCGTCACACTTGTTCACTGTGTTGTAAACAAACGGCCAGTGCCGCAGGGTGTGTTGGGCACTTCTCTCCCAGCCATCGCCCCCCCCCCCCCATGCTCCCTGAGCATGGTAGCCTTCTATGAATATTGATTGATTATTTTTACAGTCTAGACTTATGATTGAGATAAGATGTGATTATAATATAATTAGATATAGGATTTAAAGATTATAAGTAGTACTTGATAGTACCACTGATTCTTATTAAGGATTCGATTTTTAATCTCTACCGGAAGCGATTAATGTTCCAATAGTTTTTAATTAAGAAATCCTTCTAGATGCTTCTGGATCCTTGAGAGATCATGCACAAAGTCACGTAGGCATTTATAGGGCCCCTATGGCGTATGTGATCATAGTGGCATTGTCATCTAGGATCAAGCTGTGTAATGAATCTATAATGATTCTAATATGATTTTGATATGATTTGATATGATTTTGATACGATTTAGATATGATATAGATATGATATAGAAATTATACATTTCTTAGATGATAATATTGATATAATGGGTAAAAATTTCCCACAACAGCCCCTCACACTCTCTCCTCACCGACAGCCCCTCACACTCTCTTCTCACCGACAGCCCCTCACACTCTCTCCTCACCGACAGCCCCTTACACTCTCTCCTCACCGACAGCCCCTCACTCTCTCCTCACCGACAGCCCCTCACACTCTCTTCTCACCGACAGCCCCTCTCACTCTCTCCTCACCGACAGCCCCTCACACTCTCTCCTCACCGACAGTCCCTCACACTCTCCTTACCGACAGCCACTCACACAGTCTCCTCACCGACAGCCACTCACACAGTCTCCTCACCGACAGCCACTCACCACGCGCAGGAACGAGCACGAGAGGTCCAGGAAGGTCATCAAGGACACTTGGCACAAGGAACTCAAGCGGGTTACCGAAGCTGTCTCCAACCTCAAGAAGTCCAAGGTCATCTACTTCCAGCGCCAGCAGGTAAGGTCATCTACTTCCAGCGCCAGCAGGTAAGGTCATCTACTTCCAGCGCCAGCAGGTAAGGTCATCTACTTCCAGGACCAGCTGGTAGTAGTGACCTTTCTCTCTCTCTCTCTCTCTCTCTCTCTCTCTCTCTCTCTCTCTCTCTCTCTCTCTCTCTCTCTCTCTCTCTCTCTCTCTCTCTCGCTCTCTCTTTCACACACACACCATGCCGTCTCATGTTTTAAACGTGATACGCGTGTTCATTAGGAAACAGTACTGTTGTTGCTCTACATTACCTTACCTGAAGCCGCCCCATAAACAAATATTGTATTAACCCATTATTAGTTTCCATTCGGATCCAATTACACTTGATAATAAGTTACCATTGTGTTATTGACTGGAGGAAGCTGGTGCCACCTTTGTGCCTGAGGCTCAAGATGGCTGTAAACTTGTGCTTCATAAAAGGTTTACACACCCTCACCTAAGGTGCAAGATACGGCTTAGCGCTGTAAACCTCTTGGCTGCCACTGTAGTGGCAGGCTTACCATGTGCCTCTACATCACTGAGGAGTCGCAGTTCATGTTGGGTATCTGGGGCTTTAACTCATATATTGAAATTATTTGATTATTATGATTGACATAAATCGAAGGACCACCCACTTTTGAGACAAGAGGGAAAACAAACAAAAGTGATTATTAGATTGACACTATAGAACCAGTGCCTATGTACGATAATTAACTTAACAAATCACTTGAAAATAATGAATAGACTGTATTATTAATGAATTAAAGTCAAAGCCTCAAATATCAACATGGGGGGGGGTTATTTCTAGAAGTTCATATATATCTAGGAACCAGTGTGGTTCGTCACTAGTTCATTGTTGAGTTAGTAACATAGCAAATCTAAACTAATATAGATTCAAAGATATGATATCTCAAATAAAGAACATATTAAAAGGTTATGCAATATTGAGCAATAGTAAGAGCAAAACACATTAAACACTAAGCCATAAATTCTGGTATTAAACTATTCACTGTAAAATTCCTATATGTGAATTTATATAGAAACTATTAATAATCTTAGCTAAAGTTATACGAAAGAGGGTGTCTTAGCTGTAAGACGACTTCTGTAATTTCGTTTCGTTACTCGTCCTCGTGACCACATGATCACAATAAGGAAAGAACCCGTGGAAATTATCGTGAGTGATGAGAGACAACTTGTTAACTCCTCGTTTACACGCTGCAATCAGGGAAAATTAAGTAGCATTGTATTAGGCTATAAATTATTTCAAGTATTCATTGAAATTGAAATAAATGAAGAAAATCAACTAACGTTGTATTTTTGTTGATCTTGCTTCGTTACGACAGACTACCCACAAATATACAATCTAGGATGATGCATCAAACGAGAATGGTATACTTAACATGAGCGTATCAAATACTAAGGTCTGCCGAAACCGTGTCTGCCAGTCCCAGGCGTCCACTGCTGTGTACGCGTAATTACGGGCCGTGACTTCAATTGTTCATGCGTTATTAACTTGTAGGGCACTGTAGAACACGTGGGGAGATAATTGGTGACTATTGGTGGAGTTGTAACGTAATTAATGTTGGAAACTCTTCAGTCACACCACCTCCAAGCGTCTTCCCTTCCTGATCGCTATTCGAACACGTGAGGACTAATTGCGGCTCACCGCTCGCCTCCCCCTCAACCCCCTCCTCGCATTCACAATAGAATTTAGTAATCACAGAGAATTCTTTTCCGTGTAATTATTGAAGTAATGCTCTAAAAGAATAGGGTTGCAATTGTAGGGAACTATATTGTTTATATTCTCTCTAGATAGTGTTGATTAAACACCATTTCCTTATTAACGAGAAATGGGAAATATTTTCATGGCGTTCGTATGTAACAGATAAAACTGTTATTTAGTGATAATCTTAGTTAATAACTCTCGGTTATTGGATCATTAGGAGTTATATTATCAGTAACTAATTATTATACAGTATACTGATAAAAGTAGAGAACCATATTCAATCCTCTAACATATTGGTAATAAATGTGTCTAGATAGACATTATCTGACGCAATCCTGCCTCTCTCTATGTCGTGAGAATGTCAGTAATTCATGTGCAGATAAAGAAATATTAATTTATGTTAGTATTACAGTTAGTAAGGCTAATTGATATTGTGGTTAATATACAACAATAGTGTATTGTGATACAATAGAGATGTATCAGTGTTGGAAATTTCCAACAGTTCATCCCCAAGATGCCAACTTCATCCCTTAACAGTAGAGTTTGTCCAGTCACCAGTATGCCTGTCACAGGTTCACTGTCACCAGTATGCCTGTCACAGGTTCACTGTCACCAGTATGCCTGTCACAGGTTCACTGTCACCAGTATGCCTGTTCACACGTTCACAGTCACCAGTATGCCTGTCACAGGTTCACTGTCACCAGTATGCCTGTAGTCACAGGTTCACGTCACCAGTATGCCTGTCAAAGTACCAGTATCACGTTAAAAGTATCCAGTACATCACTACAGATGGTTATCGATTCATCCAGTAACTGATCATTCTGTCTCATTTCCTCCCTCTCAGTCTCCCTCCTCTTCTCTCTCTCTCTCTCACTCTCCCTCCTCTCCTCCCTCACCATAGTAACGTTGGAGGAGGACAAAATTGGCATTGAACCAAGTACTAATTGTAGGGACAGGCAGGCAGGTGGTGGCTGCTCTCTGACTAATTGCCCGGCTGGCCAATTACCCGCCCGCCAGCACTCACCACTTACTCAAATCTATTCCATCACTTCCTCTACTTCCCTCTTCCACAACCTCGCTCTCAACGCTTACCTTTCCACAACCCTTTTCCTCCTTTCCACTTATCTCCTTCACTCCCATGTTTACCCTTGGGCTTTATTACCCAAGGAGACCAGCTGGTTATTAACAACCCAGACAAAGAAACCTTTGTTAATTATTTATTATTATTATTACTATTATTATTGTTATTGAAATATTGTTTTGACTCGTACCTGGTCTTAGACTATCCCTTCACCCCAAGCACCGGTCCACCACTGGTCTTACACTGTCTGAGGATCACTGAGAGACTGGGCCCCGGGGCGGCTACTATCTTGACTCGATAACGTCACCTGTTACTCAGGTATCATAATAATAATGTATTTACCTGGGCCTTACCTGAAAGAGGTTGTGAGAGTTCTTTTACTCCCCAAGCCTAATGACAATGTTCAGGTAATAGGAATATGATGAAGGTAGGAGACGTGACCTTGACGTGTAAGATTGTGTGTGTCCTCACTGTGGAAACCGACCTGTGAGATTTATATTTATTTAATTTATATGAATTATATTTACGTTAATTTGTATACTTCGATAGCAATTTGTATAATGATAAGTGGACTGTATTTCTGCAATAATCTCTTAATCTCACAAATCGATCCTCTACACATTAGGGGGTTATATTTATATATATACAGCCAATCAAACTACAGTATTAACTACATACATTGAAGTGGTTCCTTATCTTATAGTACAGCAGGTTAGTCCACCAGGTATAACTAGGGTGTAGACACCAAATTATCCTCTTTGAGGTAGTTTCCATCACCCAGTAACTGGTGCACAAATCTTGCTTCCTCGTCTTGACCTGTCAAAAGTGCGCTAGCTGTGAAGCCAGAATCCTATATATGACAAGCTATATCAGAGAAAACACTATACAGTACATGGAACAATAAAGACCTGGCTTAATTACCTTTAGTATGAGGCGATTTCGCGTTCTAACCGGCTAACCCTACCCAATGACATTAATGGCCACTAATGATAGATAATGGGTTTCGGAAAGAACACTTAACTTGAATTTGTAGATAGCGTGTTGATAATGGTACACCTTTAGTTTCCATAACACTACGTCCAAGTAAATTTAACAGGAGCCGAATTTGCTCCCGTGTGAGCCTCTGGTCTAGTATCAACAATGGCTGCATCTAACACTCCATACTATTGACGCCTGGCTTACATTGTCCACATGTCAGAAAGTGATAGAAGGGTCACATTTACTCTACTTTAATATTGATAATTAAGTTACTCACCAGGAGCTGGTCAAGGCCAGGGAGATGGTGGCGCGCGCTGACAACACCGAAGGTCTCGACAAACTGGAAAGAAAACGAGACGAGGCGCTCCAGAAGGTGAGCAGCTCAAACTATTTTATTATTATTCTTTTAATGACACTTTTGGAGAAAAATTCTGGTATTTCAAGGCATAATCTTGTTTTATCCTTGACGTAGTGTTTAAGGCAACATTATTATATTGTAATCTTATGATTTTCTTGTATAAAACTTGTGTAATGTATTAGAAAATATATAATGTTGATAGTCTCATTACAGATGTATATCCACATGTTCACACAATGTTAATTGGCTGCTGGTTACGTCTCCAACTACCACCACACTACTACCACTACCAGCATTGCTACCATTATCTTTACTAGTACTACTAATACTCACAGTATTACTATTGCAAGAACCGTTACCTTCGTTACTACTTCAACTACTAATCAATACTACTACTACTACGTCCACTAGTTAACTACTAGTGCTTCTGCTGTTATTTTTTAGTTCAACCACTCTTGCTACCGCTGATACGACTACCACCACCACCACCACGATTACAAGCACAACTAACCCGTCACTAGTAATATTGCTACCAATAATAATATTATTACCAATGGTATCACAACTACCACTAATACTACCATTACTGGTCTTGTAATACTACTGTTCATACTACTCCAACCACCACCACCCATTGATCTACCACAACTACTAGTACTACCACCATAACTTAATGCTGATATTACTAATCTTAATGTTAACACATTCATGCTGCTACTTCACTCAGTGCTACTAGTTAAACTACTATTACCCCAATACTACTAGTGTCCCAGATTATACTAGTACGACCAGTACTACTAGGGGCCCCGGTAGTACTAGGGGCCCCAGTACTACTAGGGGCCCCCAGTACTACTAGGGGCCCCGGTACTACTAGGGGGCCCTGGTACTACTAGGGGGGCCCCGGTACTACTAGGGACCCCGGTAGTACTAGGGGCCCCAGTACTACTAGGGGCCCCCAGTACTACTAGGGGCCCCGGTACTACTAGGGGGCCCTGGTACTACTAGGGGGCCCCGGTACTACTAGGGGCCCTGGTACTACTAGGGGCCCCGGTACTACTAGGGGCCACCAGTACTACTAGGGGCCACCAGTACTACTAGGGGTCCCGGTACTACTAGGGCCCCCAGTACTACTAAGGGCCCCGGTACTACTAGGGGCCCCCAGTACTACTAGGGGCCACCAGTACTACTAGGGGCCACCAGTACTACTAGGGGCCACCAGTACTACAAGGGGGCCCCAGTACTACTAGGGGTCCCGGTACTACTAGGGGCCACCAGTACTACAAGGGGCCCCAGTACTACTAGGGGCCACCAGTACTACTAGGGGCCACCAGTACTACTAGGGGCCCCCAGTACTACTAGGGGCCACCAGTACTACTAGGGGCCACCAGTACTACAAGGGGGCCCCAGTACTACTAGGGGTCCCGGTACTACTAGGGGCCACAAGTACTACAAGGGGCCCCAGTACTACTAGGGGCCACCAGTACTACTAGGGGCCACCAGTACTACAAGGGGGCCCCGGTACTACTAGGGGCCACCAGTACTACTAGGGGCCACCAGTACTACTAGGGGGCCCCGGTACTACAAGTAAGCGTGTACTCCGGCCACGACAGGCGCGGGAGGCGGAGGCGTGGTACAGGGCGTGTGTGAGCGAGGCCAACGAGCGCCACGGGTCGCTGCTGAGGGTGAAGAGGGACGTGCTGGTGCAGGCGCGGGAGCTGATCCTCCAGTGTGACCAGACCATGAAGGCCGTCACTGTCGGCTACTTCCAGCTCCAGCACACTGTGGCGGCCCCCGCCCCCGTCCAGGTGGGTACTGCTGCCCGTGTCCCTGTCCAGGTGGGTACTGCTGCCCCTGTCCAGGTGGGTACTGCTGCCCCTGTCCAGGTGGGTACTGCTGCCCGTGTCCAGGTGGGTACTAGTCATTCCTAGTGTGAGCTGCAGCCTTAACAAGAGTGAACTACAGCTCCCAGTAGGTTGTAGAGTCACTCAGAGGTAAGGTATAGGAGTAAAACGGAGTTCTCTGTAATCAAATACAAAATGTTAGTTTACTATAATGACTACATCCTTGTGAGGGCTGTGGTGAGGAGGGCTGCCAGCTGGCCTGGTGCCCGCTGAGGGCTGGGGGGGGGGGGGGGCAGCTCAGTTTCCCATTGTAATGTCATTGTTCACTGTTATTGCTTATCTTTATGGGAATGGTTGAACTGGAAACAATGCTCACTCTGGCTTAATGATTGTTATCATACACCTTATTGGAAGTTCTCACTGGACGCATGTGTGTGTTGGCTAATTATTCCAGTAATTGATAAACAGTGTGTGTGTGTGTGTGTGTGTGTGTGTGTGTGTGTGTGTGTGTGTGTGTGTGTGTGTGTGTGTGTGTGTGTGTGTACTCACCTATTTGTGCTTGCGGGGGTTGAGCTCTGGCTCTTTGGTCCCGCCTCTCAACTGTCAATCAACTGGAGTACAGGTTCCTGAGCCTATTGGGCTCTATCATATCTCCACTTGAACCTGTGTATGGAGTCAGCCTCCACCACAACACTTCCTAATGCATTCCATTTGTCAACCACTCTGACACTAAAAAAGTTCTTTCTAATATCTCTGTGGCTCATTTGGGCACTCAGTTTCCACCTGTTCCCTTGTGCGTGTGCCCCTTGTGTTAAATAGCCTGTCTTTATCTAACCTATCAATTCCCTTCAGAATCTTAAATGTGGTGATCATGTCCCCCCTAACTCTTCTGTCTTCCAGCAAAGTGAGGTTTAATTCCCGTAGTCTCTCCTCGTAGCTCATACCTCTCAGCTCGGATACTAGTCTGGTGGCAAACCTTTGAACCTTTTCCAGTTTAGTCTTATGCTTGACTAGATATGGACTCCATGGTGGAGCCGCATACTCCAGGATTGGCCTGACATATGTGGTATACAAGCTGCTCTATGATTCCTTACATACGTTTATAAAGTTTCTGCGCGCGCGTGTGTGTGTGTGTGTGTTCGTGTCCCCACACACACACACACACACACACACACACACACACACACACACACACACACACACACACACACACACACACACACACACACACACACACATACATACACCACCAGTTCCAAGTGCTGACCATCCTGGTGGCCCCACAGCTGCAGACACTGTGTGAGAGCTCCCGGCTCTACGAGCCCGGCTCCCAGTACATGGAGTTTGTGAAGAGACTGGGCCCGTCGGTGAGCGTGGAGCAGCCCGAGACGCCCTTCACCTTCCAGCCCTACACCCCCGGCGCCCAGGACCTCCCTGGCAATAACGACCCCACTGCCAATGGTTCCGTGGCCTCCGCTGACGACCTGCCAGGTGGGCACGACTCTCACACCTGTGTTGGAGTTATTGAAATAAGTTGGAACAGTTTGCTTTACATGTGAAATTGATGAGTTATCATGTTAATAACTGAACCAGATATTCATGTGTTGTGCTGGTTATTTGGTTGTGTGTACACAGTCTTTGCTCTCTCTCTCTCTCTCTCTCTCTCTCTCTCTCTCTCTCTCTCTCTCTCTCTCTCTCTCTCTCTCTCTCTCTCTCTCTCTCTCTCTCTCTCTCTCTCTCTCTCTCTCTCTCTCTGTGTCTCTCTGTCTCTCTATCTCTCTATCTCTATCTCTATCTCACCTTCACCAAGGAAGTTCACCTTCTTCACCAAGGTCGACCTTCCTCTTCACTCACCAAAGTCGACCTTCCTGTCCACTGACGAACAGAACATACATATATTAGTCGCTAATTTAACCAATGTGTTCCCCCCATATTGTCTCCCTGGCGCGTGTCGGCGTCACCGTGTCAGTGGGTCGACTGGTGGGACAAGGCGGCAGCGACACCGACAGCGTCGGGTCGTCGCACTCGGCCAAGAGTGCCGACGCCTCGCCCACGCACTCTCCCCGACCCACCGCCAGGCGGACCCACACCGTCTCCTCCGGCGATGAACTGGAGACTGACCCAGACATTGGTGAGTGCAAAGCTTGCTACGGTGAGTGTAAAGCTTGCTATAGTGAGTGTAAAGCTTGCCACGGTGAGTGTAAAGCTTGCTATAGTGAGTGTAAAGCTTGCTACGGTGAGTGTAAAGCTTGGTGAGTGTAAAGCTTGCCACGGTGAGTGTAAAGCTTGCTACGGTGAGTGTAAAGCTTGCTACGGTGAGTGTAAAGCTTGCTGCGGTGAGTGTAAAGCTTGCTACGGTGAGTGTAAAGCTTGCTACGGTGAGTGTAAAGCTTGCTACGGTGAGTGTAAAGCTTGCTACGGTGAGTGTAAAGCTTGCTATAGTGAGTGTAAAGCTTGCCACGGTGAGTGTAAAGCTTGCTATAGTGAGTGTAAAGCTTGCCACGGTGAGTGTAAAGCTTGCTACGGTGAGTGTAAAGCTTGCTACGGTGAGTGTAAAGCTTGCTGCGGTGAGTGTAAAGCTTTCTACGGTGAGTGTAAAGCTTGGTGAGTGTAAAGCTTGCTACGGTGAGTGTAAAGCTTGCTACGGTGAGTGTAAAGCTTGCTATAGTGAGTGTAAAGCTTGCCACGGTGAGTGTAAAGCTTGCTATAGTGAGTGTAAAGCTTGCCACGGTGAGTGTAAAGCTTGCTACGGTGAGTGTAAAGCTTGCTACGGTGAGTGTAAAGCTTGCTACGGTGAGTGTAAAGCTTGCTACGGTGAGTGTAAAGCTTGCTATAGTGAGTGTAAAGCTTGCCACGGTGAGTGTAAAGCTTGCTATAGTGAGTGTAAAGCTTGCCACGGTGAGTGTAAAGCTTGCTATGGTGAGTGTAAAGCTTGCTACGGTGAGTGTAAAGCTTGCTACGGTGAGTGTAAAGCTTGCTATGGTGAGTGTAAAGCTTGCTATAGTGAGTGTAAAGCTTGCAACGGTGAGTGTAAAGCTTGCTACGGTGAGTGTAAAGCTTGCTACGGTGAGTGTAAAGCTTGCTACGGTGAGTGTAAAGCTTGCTACGGTGAGTGTAAAGCTTGCTACGGTGAGTGTAAAGCTTGCTACGGTGAGTGTAAAGCTTGCTACGGTGAGTGTAAAGCTTGCTACGGTGAGTGTAAAGCTTGCTATAGTGAGTGTAAAGCTTGCCACGGTGAGTGTAAAGCTTGCTACGGTGAGTGTAAAGCTTGCTACGGTGAGTGTAAAGCTTGCCACGGTGAGTGTAAAGCTTGCTACGGTGAGTGTAAAGCTTGCTACGGTGAGTGTAAAGCTTGCTGCGGTGAGTGTAAAGCTTGCTACGGTGAGTGTAAAGCTTGCTACGGTGAGTGTAAAGCTTGCTACGGTGAGTGTAAAGCTTGCTGCGGTGAGTGTAAAGCTTGCTACGGTGAGTGTAAAGCTTGCTGCGGTGAGTGTAAAGCTTGCTGCGGTGAGTGTAAAGCTTGCTACGGTGAGTGTAAAGCTTGCTACGGTGAGTGTAAAGCTTGCTGCGGTGAGTGTAAAGCTTGCTGCGGTGAGTGTAAAGCTTGCTACTGTGAGTGTAAAGCTTGCTACTGTGAGTGTAAAGCTTGCTACGGTGAGTGTAAAGCTTGCTGCGGTGAGTGTAAAGCTTGCTACTGTGAGTGTAAAGCTTGCTACGGTGAGTGTAAAGCTTGCTACGGTGAGTGTAAAGCTTGCTACATGTTTCAAAGTGTTTTACCCATGAACACATGGGTAAAACACCTAGAGAATCGGGCGGGGATGTAAGGTAGTGAATATAGTGAATATTGTGAATATAGTGAATATAGAATAAGAATAGTAAGAGAAGAAAATGAGAACGAGGCAAGTGCTTGTGAGGGATTAAGAGGAGATAGCAAAGTTAAGAATGTTTGGAGATTACAGAAGGAGGAGGATTAAGACATTAACTAGAGCAGGGAACAGTGAGGAGAACTGCTGCAGGCTTGTGAAGGTGGGGAAGGGAGGGGGTTGAGGGCCTAGGTGGACACGTGAACACTTGGGCAGGATATCTTAGGGAATGTGAACACAAGGCAGGATATCTTAGGGAATGTGAACACATGGGCAGGATATCTTAGGGAATGTGAACACTTGGGCAGGATATCTTAGGGAATGTGAACACTTGGGCAGGATATCTTAGGGAATGTGAACACTTGGGCAGGATATCTTAGGGAATGTGAACACTTGGGCAGGATATCTTAGGGAATGTGAACACTTGGGCAGGATATCTTAGGGAATGTGAACACTTGGGCAGGATATCTTAGGGAATAAATTGAGGACAAACAAGGAAGAGTGAACATCTTGTGAGATACACCATGTATGTGTACATGTGTGTGTGTGTGTGTACATGTGTGTGTGTGTGTGTACATGTGTGTGTGTCTGTGTGTGTGTGTGTGTGTGTGTGTGTGTGTGTGTGTGTGTGTGTGTGTGTGTGTGTGTATATGTGTGTGTGTGTGTGTACATGTGTGTGTGTGTGTGTACATGTGTGTGTGTGTGTGTGTACATGTGTGTGTGTGTGTGTGTGTGTACTGGTAATGGACCCACACACCTGTAAGAGAGGCAGTGTAGGGCGAGTCTGAGGTGAAGGAGTGAACACTGACCATCAAGTATTGCAGAGATGTGCGGCTTGCAAGTGCAAGAATGCACTAATAACAAATGCTAGAGAATAACCTGGTTCAGTTAAATTAGTTGTTACAAGTGATGCGTTGTCATAAAGGCATTAATATGCCATCCGTCTCTGGCATAACATATACAAACTGTTATATTATTTAAAAGGTTAATTGGGGTAAACATTTACCAATTAATGAAAAAGGGTTAACATATATTAATTGAGCGATTGATATACTTTATATAAGTGCACTTAGTGTATTATTACTATTACTTAATGAAGAAGGGATATTTTTTTTATTCTGGAATATTCCATAATATTTATTGAAGAATATGGTGTGTTAGAAACAGTACAGATATAATATTAAATATTTACAATAAGAGCAACAGATAGACAGGATGAGTGAGGGTAACAAAATATATATAACATTAAATACTTGGACTACTAAGTGTTATGGGAGGAGGAGGAGGAGGAGGGAGCACAAGTGGGGTGTTAACTGTGTCCTGCCACTGTCTCCCTCAGTGGAACCCACGTACAGGCGCCAGGTGATGAGCAAGGCCGCCGTCACCCACACCTTCAGGAAGCTCAAGACCCCCTCCAGGTGTCGCGAGTGTGACTCCTACGTCTACTTCCATGGCTACGAGTGTGCTGAGGTAGGCTCCTGGTGGCTACGAGTGTGCTGAGGTAGGCTCCTGGTGGCTACGAGTGTGCTGAGGTAGGCTCCTGGTGGCTACGAGTGTGCTGAGGTAGGCTCCTGGTGGCTACGAGTGTGCTGAGGTAGGCTCCTGGTGGCTACGAGTGTGCTGAGGTAGGGTCTTGGTGACTACGAGTGTGCTGAGGTAGGCTCCTGGTGGCTACGAGTGTGCTGAGGTAGGCTCCTGGTGGCTACGAGTGTGCTGAGGAAGGGTCCTGGTGGCTACGAGTGTGCTGAGGTAGGCTCCTGGTGGCTACGAGTGGGCTGAGGTAGGCTCCTGGTGGCTACGAGTGTGCTGAGGTAGGCTCCTGGTGGCTACGAGTGTGCTGAGGTAGGCTCCTGGTGGCTACGAGTGTGCTGAGGTAGGCTCCTGGTGGCTACGAGTGTGCTGAGGTAGGCTCCTGGTGGCTACGAGTGTGCTGAGGTAGGCTCCTGGTGGCTACGAGTGTGCTGAGGTAGGCTCCTGGTGGCTACGAGTGTGCTGAGGTAGGCTCCTGGTGGCTACGAGTGTGCTGAGGTAGGCTCCTGGTGGCTACGAGTGTGCTGAGGTAGGCTCCTGGTGGCTACGAGTGTGCTGAGGTAGGCTCCTGGTGGCTACGAGTGTGCTGAGGTAGGCTCCTGGTGGCTACGAGTGTGCTGAGGTAGGCTCCTGGTGGCTACGAGTGTGCTGAGGTAGGCTCCTGGTGGCCACGAGTGTGCTGAGGTAGGCTCCTGGTGGCTACGAGTGTGCTGAGGTAGGCTCCTGGTGGCCACGAGGGTGCTGAGGTAGGCTCCTGGTGGCCACGAGTGTGCTGAGGTAGGCTCCTGGTGGCTACGAGTGTGCTGAGGTAGGCTCCTGGTGGCTACGAGTGTGCTGAGGTAGGCTCCTGGTGGCTACGAGTGTGCTGAGGTAGGCTCCTGGTGGCTACGAGTGTGCTGAGGTAGGCTCCTGGTGGCTACGAGTGTGCTGAGGTAGGCTCCTGGTGGCCACGAGTGTGCTGAGGTAGGCTCCTGGTGGCTACGAGTGTGCTGAGGTAGGCTCCTGGTGGCTACGAGTGTGCTGAGGTAGGCTCCTGGTGGCTACGAGTGTGCTGAGGTAGGCTCCTGGTGGCTACGAGTGTGCTGAGGTAGGCTCCTGGTGGCTACGAGTGTGCTGAGGTAGGCTCCTGGTGGCTACGAGTGTGCTGAGGTAGGCTCCTGGTGGCCACGAGTGTGCTGAGGTAGGCTCCTGGTGGCTACGAGTGTGCTGAGGTAGGCTCCTGGTGGCCACGAGTGTGCTGAGGTAGGCTCCTGGTGGCCACGAGTGTGCTGAGGTAGGCTCCTGGTGGCTACGAGTGTGCTGAGGTAGGCTCCTGGTGGCTACGAGTGTGCTGAGGTAGGCTCCTGGTGGCTACGAGTGTGCTGAGGTAGGCTCCTGGTGGCCACGAGTGTGCTGAGGTAGGCTCCTGGTGGCTACGAGTGTGCTGAGGTAGGCTCCTGGTGGCTACGAGTGTGCTGAGGTAGGCTCCTGGTGGCTACGAGTGTGCTGAGGTAGGCTCCTGGTGGCTACGAGTGTGCTGAGGTAGGCTCCTGGTGGCTACGAGTGTGCTGAGGTAGGCTCCTGGTGGCTACGAGTGTGCTGAGGTAGGCTCCTGGTGGCCACGAGTGTGCTGAGGTAGGCTCCTGGTGGCTACGTGTGCTGAGGTAGGCTCCTGGTGGCTACGAGTGTGCTGAGGTAGGCTCCTGGTGGCCACGAGTGTGCTGAGGTAGGCTCCTGGTGGCTACGAGTGTGCTGAGGTAGGCTCCTGGTGGCTACGAGTGTGCTGAGGTAGGCTCCTGGTGGCCACGAGTGTGCTGAGGTAGGCTCCTGGTGGCTACGAGTGTGCTGAGGTAGGCTCCTGGTAGTTACTGGATCAGCCAGGCTGTGGTGACTGTGTTTAGGTTATAACAGTATGCGTCTAATATGATGAGTCACATGAGTGGTTGACTCTAACATGTGCCTGGTGTTACCTTATTCAATGTTTGGTTGCTAGTGTTTAGCATTAATGTTCAGTTGTGGCGTCATCAGTGACGTCACCTTCATTATCCCGCCACTGTCATCATGACTGTCATGACCTTCATTATCCTGCCACTGTCATCATCACTGACGTCACCGTCATTATCCAGCCACTGACGTCACTTTCATTATCCTCCCACTGTCATCATCATTGACGTCACCGTCATTATCCAGCCATTGACATCACCTTCATTATTCTGCCACTGTCATCATGACCATACCACCACCCTTACTTTCACACCCACCACCACCCCCCACAACCAGTGCCAACCACCTCCACAACAACCCCTGCCACCCCCCCCCCCAACCAGTGCCACCCCCCCCACCACAACAACCCCTGCCACCCCCACCACCACCCCACTAAGAGCCGTGCACTTCCCCACCAGTGCGGGCTGGGGTGCCACAAGAAGTGCCTGGAGACGCTGGCCATACAGTGCGGGCACAAGCGGCTCCCCCGCAAGATGACCACCTTCGGGGTGGACCTGGCTCAGCACCTGAGCGAGACCAACACCTCCGTCCCCCACCTGGTGGTCAAGTGTGTGGCCGAGATCGACGCCAGGGGCACCAAGATCAAGGTGGGTGCTGCATGGGGCATGGGTCATGGGGTCCTTCACGGGTCATGGGGAGGGTCCTTCATGGGTCATGGGGAGGGTCCTTCACGGGTCATGGGGAGGGTCCTTCATGGAGCATGGGGTCCTTCACTGGTCATGGGGTATATATATATATACACAGTATATGTATAGGTGTCCCAGTAGTACCCTAGTCGGGTTCGTTCTCGACCCATAATCGAGAATTCTGGGTTTGAATCCCGGGCGGAGCTGAAATGGTTAGGCGCGTTTGCTATCACCTAATGCACCTTTCCACCTAGCATTGAATAGGTACCTGGGAGTTAGTCAGCTTGTTGTGGAGTTTCAACCTGGGGAGGGTCAGTAATTCGACCCTGAGAGGGGGGGGGGGGTAACCTCGATATAAGTCTAATTATATGAATACACTATGCCTGCCTGTCCCCCGACACAATGAATTATTATTATGAATTATATTTCATATATAGACAATTGGACAAGAGCGGCCAGGGTCTCAAACCCATAATCCCCCAACCAGCGTCTGCGGGGGATTACCTAATCCTTAAATAACTTATTCATATCTGCTGAAAATTCCTTTATCTCTCTCAAATTACTGAACAAATGTGAGTCACTCATGATGTGTTTACACACGACTCACAACTGATGTCCGAACACTTCCGGAGCAAGTGCTTCACTGACGAATTATGTTCGAACCACAACGCTGTAAATGCTTCACCCACGTACTACGAATACCAACCCATCTTCGACTCGAGTCCATTATATCCAGCGGTCGACCCTACAGACGCATTCATAAATTTTAACATGCTGTTCATTCAAAACGGAAATATAAATTAATATTATAATATAATAGCATATTGTGCATATATAGGCATAGGTTAGGTTAGTTGTTTAGGTTCTGTTGGCGATTATTTGTATCTGGAGTACGCGGGGGAAGCATTTACAGCGTTGCAGTTCGAACAAAATTCGTCAGTGAAGCACTTGTTCCGGAAGTGTTCGAACATCAGTTGTGAGTCGTGTGTAAACCGTTTTTTCATTCATAAACAGCGGGTTTGGCGGGTGCATGAAATGGACTTTGGGCTTTATTTGGATGATGGGTTGACTCATATGTGATGACTTCCGAACACTTCCGGAACAAGTGCTTCGCTCACGACCTCTGTTCAGACCGCAATTCTATAAATGCTTCACCCACGCACTTCAAATAAAAATCATCACCAACAGAACCTTAACACCTAACCTAACCTACGCCTAACTATACATATCATTTGTATGTATAATAATATTAATTTATATATGAGAACAAATCAATTTTTAATACATAGTATGTTAAAATTAATGAATGCATCTGGGGAGGACGGTCGCTGCTTTAACCAACTTAGTGTGAGGACGAGTTGGGTAAAATACAACGTCATTCATTTTTTTGTATTAATACATTAGATACATGTGCAGCTGCCCTAGACTATATGAAGGGGAGTACAGTGTGTCAAAAAGCTAGCTACGTGGTGCTAAAAATCCCCATCACACAGGATGGTTAGTCATACAGAGGCATGTGATAGGCAGTCTGCACTGGCAGACTCCTGGTGCATTATGAGGATATCATCAACACAAGAGTGAATAAGGCAGCAGTGATACTAAAAGTCCACCACTCGCAGGATGGTTAGTCATACAGGGCCATATGTTCAGTAGCCTGCACTGGCAGAATCTGGGTGCATTATGAGGATATCTTCAAGAACTCGAGCCTGAATAAAGTAAATGCAGAGCTCCAGGTACCTCATGCCAACGGGTCTGAAAGGTTTAATAACTGTGCATTCGTTAATGAAGTGTGGGGGATCATGCCTCAGTTCCTGTTCACAGAGTTTGCACCTGGAGTGCTCAGGATTGGGAGATCCGTCACCTGCTACAGGTAACGGTAACCCAACCTGATCCTGGCAACCACTGTGTCGTACAGTCTAGTGGACGTTTTGTGCTGCCCATAGATGTAGGTTTCAGATCTGAACAAATCATAGCATTTTATACTAGTACTTTCAGGTCGTTGGGAGTCAGTAAGTTCTTTCCTATCAGATCTGAGTGTTTGGATTAATACAGTTTTGACAGCAGAGATGGGGATACCTAGATCTAATTCAAATTCAAACTTGTTACACGCTAATTTGGCTGCAATGTCTGTTTCATTATGATGGGTTATATTTATGTGTGAAGGTATCCATACAAAGGACATTCGAGACCCTTTACTCTGTGCATCAATTAGGTCATTTATAATTGGGAGTATGAGGTTCTTGCTGTCGATCTTCCAAGAGAAGTTTTCGATTGCTTGAAGAGCAGACTCTGAATCACAAAATATTATTCCTCCTCCAATGTTTTTTAATGTACTGGTAGCTAGTTGTAATGCTGCTAGTTCTGCTTGTGTGGAGGTCAGCCAGTTGTTTAACCTGACACTGACAGTCTTTGTGCAAATATTATTTCTATAAAACCTACATGCTGCTGCAGTCCGTCCAGTAGAAGATTGGACTGAGCCGTCGGTGTAGACACAGTGCTCGTGAGATCTTAAACTCTCGATGGAGGATTCAATTGTTTCAAGAGTGACAGCTTTGAGAAGAGCAAGATTCTCATTATCTTTCTTGGTGACAGGTGTTTATGATACTTGAATGGTGGGGTACAGATAAAGAGGAATATCAGAGACAAGTAGATTGCACTTAAAAGGAATGTTAAGTTTAATGAGATTGTAAGCATTGTTGCTCAGCCAATTATCATAAAAGGAGTGAGTTGGTATGTCGGCACCAGCCAAAAGGGTATTAACAGCACTAAATAATTTGTCTCAGAGCAATGCAGGAGATGTAGGGTCTCTCATGACTATAAGGCAAAAGGTGGTGTTGACTTGCATTATTCTCTCGAGTATGGTTGGAAGCTTCAGTTCTTCCCGCATGTTAATGATTCTTGTGCATCTTGGAGCACCAAGAATTATCCTCATGGCCTCATTCTGTACTACTTCAAGTTTGTCCAACACAGAGGGGAAATTAATTAAGTGCAGAGCATTATAATCAACGAGAGATCTAACGAACATCATATAGAATAGTCTAGCATATTTAATATTGATACCAATATTCTTACCAGTAAGTGTTCTCAATGGTTTTAGTCTGTGAGGATATCTTCAAAAATACGAGAGTGAATAAAGCAATTGCAAAGCTCCAGGTACCTCATGCCAACTGGTCTGAAAGGCCTAATAACTGGGCATTCAGTGATGTAGTGCGGGAGATCATGCCGTAGTTCCTGCTCACAGAGTTTGCAACTGGAGTGCTCAGGATTGGGAGACCCGTCACCTGCAGCCACCTACCACAGGTAACGGTAACCCAACCTGATCCTTGCAACCACTGTGTCGCACAGTCTAGTGGACGTTTTGTGCTGTCCATAGATGTAGGTTTCAGATCTAAACAAATCATAGCTTTTTTTTACTAGTACTTTCAGGTCGTTGGGAGTCAGTAAGTTCTTTCCTATCAGATCTGAATGTTTGGACCAATACAGTTTTGACAGCAGAGATGGGGATACCTAGATCTAATTCAACTTCAAACTTAATACACGCTAATTTGGCTGCAATGTCTGTCTCATTATGATGGGTTATACTTATGTGTGAAGATATCCATACAAAGGAGATTCGAGACCCTTTACTCTGTGCATCAATTAGGTCATTTATAATTGGGAGTATGAGGTTCTTGCTGTCGATCTTCCAAGAGAAGTTTTCGATTGCTTGAAGAGCAGACTCTGAATCACAAAATATTATTCCTCCTCCAATGTTTTTTAATGTACTGGTAGCTAGTTGTAATGCTGCTAGTTCTGCTTGTGTGGAGGTCAGCCAGTTGTTTAACCTGACACTGACAGTCTTTGTGCAAATATTATTTCCTATAAAACCTACATGCTGCTGCAGTCCGTCCAGTAGATGATTGGACTGAGCCGTCGGTGTAGACACAGTGCTCGTGAGATCTTAAACTCTCGATGGAGGAGGCAATTGTTTCAAGAGTGACAGCTTTGAGAAGAGCAAGATTCTCATTATCTTTCTTGGTGACAGGTGTTTATGATACTTGAATGGTGGGGTACAGATAAAGAGGAATATCAGAGACAAGTAGATTGCACTTAAAAGGAATGTTAAGTTTAATGAGATTGTAAGCATTGTTGCTCAGCCAATTATCATAAAAGGAGTGAGTTGGTATGTCGGCACCAGCCAAAAGGGTGTTAACAGCACTAAATAATATGTCTCAGAGCAATGCAGATGTAGGGTCTCTCATGACTTTAAGGCAAAAGGTGGTGTTGACTTGCATTATTCTCTCTAGTATGGTTGGAAGCTTCAGTTCTTCCCGCATGTTGATGATTCTTGTGCATCTTGGAGCACCAAGAATTATCCTCATGGCCTCATTCTGTACTACTTCAAGTTTGTCCAACACAGAGGAGGGGAAATTAATTAAGTGCAGAGCATTATAATCAACGAGAGATCTAACGAACATCATATAGAATAGTCTAGCATATTTAATATTGATACCAATATTCTTACCAGTAAGTGTTCTCAATGGTTTTAGTCTTTTTTTTAACCTACGGTGTAGATAATTTACAATGTCACTGTTAATACCAACTCCAAAGGTATTTGTGCTGCCTACACGTTTCAATGTTCAGGTTGTTGACCTTGAAAGTTATAGGGACATGAGTTTTCTCTAGGGTATGAAGAACTCTGGATTTAGTTATAGAGATAACAAGACCACATTCAATGCTTTTAGTAGCGAATGAATCAAGTAGAGCTTGCAGTCTAGTTTGGGAATTTGCAACAATGCATATATCATCGGCATAACAAATGACGGCTTCGTCAGGTAGTGTGGGAATATCAATTGTTAATTTATGCATCAGTACATTGAAGAGTGTAGGACTTAGCACTCCACCCTGGGGTGTACCCAAGTCAAAGGGTGCACAAAGTTTACTTTTGACCCCCTTGAAAAGGACTGAGGCGGTTCTGTTAC